CCCTGGGTTCAAAACAAACAAAAATGTTTCCTGATTTGTAAAATAATACTAATTAACATTTAATAAACACCTTATATGTACCAGGTACTGTATTAAGTACTTTGTGTGTTTAACTCTTCACCCACTACTTTTTCAAATGAGAAAACTGGGGGCCCAGAGAGGTTAAATTACATGTCCAAGGTTGTTCAGCTGGGAAACAGCAGAATTAAACCCAAGCAATCTTGTTCCTAAGCCCTTGTTTTTACTCACAGTAATATTTGTTCTATCTAATGAGCCTAAAATGAGAGAACCATATAAGCAAGATGCTTTGTTGGGGAAAATGAATGTTTTTTCCTAAAAAAGTAGGATTATAATTTTTAAATTATAAGCAGTGAATGTGATGTTTTAACTAAGTTATCCAGGGCTAGGGATGTAGCTCAGTGGTAGAGTAATTGCCTAGCATGTATGAAGCCCTGAATTCAATCCCCAGTACCATCACCAAAAAAATTTTTTAAAGTTATTTATATCATAATATTTGACAGGAAACATACAATAGAAAGATTTCTATGTAAACTTTATTAATCATGATCGTTTCTGCACCATTAGGATATTTGATTCAAAATGCCCTAAGAGGATATCCCTTTGTTCCCCACATTCCCTTTCCATTACTTTGAGAAATGCTTGATAATAAAGCTTCAGGATAGGACAGAACCTTAAAGGTCATCTAGTTCAAACTCCTGAATTTACAAGTGATAAAACTGAAGCAGAGGAATATGAAGTGACTTCCCCATATCAAATAATCATCCAGAGGAAGCTGTGGTAGGTAGGACTAAGGCCTCCCAATTTCTGGTCTACCAAAAAGTGTTGTTTCCTCCACAGGTTGACCTTGGTTTCAAGGCTAGCATGCAGGTTCTGCAAAAGGAGCCATAGAGACACTGTAAAGCAGACTTTATTAAAAACAGAATAGACATCACTAGTCAGCAGAATCATGGGTTGTGTTAAAAAGTAGACTGATGAACTGGGGACACAGCTCAACAGAAGAGCACATGCACAAGGCCCTGGGTTCCATCCCCAGCACCACAAGAAATAAAGTAAACTGAGGCACAAGAACATTTTAAAGTTTATTTCAACAAACAGCTATTCATGATTAAGGCAGCTCCAGTCCAGAAGTAGTTCAGTAAAGTCAAAGAGGCAACTCAAGAGGGAGAGTTTAATAGGGCAAACAGAGAAGTAAATCAAAGAAAATGTTTTAATATAATTATACATTTACACTATTTAGTCTGTCCTATTGGAAACAGCTTAGGTATATAAATCACCTGTCTGGTTCTAAGTGATTGGATTTGAGTTCTCTTTTTCTTTAGGTATTTTTTAGGAATAGCTCTAATGAAGTCTCACTTGTATTCACAAGTCAAACAAGGTTAAGGCACTTTATGAGGCCTAACAGCCTTTGTCTGCTCAGAAATTCTTCTGATCCCAACTCCATAAACGTGAAGCACCTAAAACAAGAAAGGTGATAATTCTGATCTATAAGTTCTTAGTTTGGGCAAGCATGGGATAGCGTCCTAATTTTTAGGGACTATACAATTTCCAGGAAAGGGGGAAAAGAGGCTCAGAGTGAAATCTATCTTCACAAATGTGAAGGCCTTTGATGTAGAAGGAAGATCAGATTTCTTCCTTGGTCCCTGGGAGTGCAACCAGATCTAGGGAGGCAGCTGGAAATACCACTGAGTTGGAAATCAGGACTGAGTACAAGTCACACAAGGCCACTGACTCAATATGACCCTAGAACAACTTAATCAGCATTTCTGAGCCCTCATTTGTGCATCCATTAAATAGACGTTTTATTTCCCCCAGAGGATGCTGTAAATATATAAAAAAAGGAATGCTGGCACATGGTAACTAAATTAAGGGTTCAGGTCTGTAAATGGGACTACCACCCATAAAGTATTATCGGTACTATTGTATGCTTTCAGTTCTTCCTCAGTCCCACAGCCCGGGTTTTCCTTTACTTGTAAGAGTAGTGTCACCCTTTATTTCGTCCTCCCAAATATTCTTGGAGTTTTCCTCCTTTAGGCCAACCACAGCACCTAGGAGCGCTTTCTCCTGCTGGGATTCTCTGACTGGCCCTCCCTGCAGCCAGTCCTGTTCGCTCTTGTCCTCTTCTGCTACCTGCTCACTCTAATGGGCAACTGCGAGCTGGTGCTGCTTGTCATGGGCGACCGGTGTCTGCACATGCCCATGTACTACTTCCTTTGCCCCCTGGCCCTGGTGGACGCTGGCTTCACCACCAGCGTGGTACGCCCGCTGCTGACCAACCTGCATGGATCAGCGCTCAGGCTGCCCCGAGGCGGTTGCATGGCGCAGCTGTGCGTGTCGCTGTCCCTGGGATCTTCTGAGTGCGTCCTGCTGGCGGTGATGGCGCTGAGCCGTTATGCGGTGCTCGCCTCGCCCCGCCTCGCCTCTGCCGCGCAGTGGCCGGCGCTTCCTGGCTGGGCGGCCTCGCCAACTCCGCCACCCAAACCGCGCTCTTGGCCGCGTCGCGGCTCTGCCCTACCCTCCAGCTGGACCCGTTCATCTACGAGCTCCCCGCGCTGCTCAAGCTGGCCTGCGGCAGCGGCGGCAGAGACACCATCCGGGTTCCCCGCCCGCGTGGTTATACTGCTGGTGCCACCCACCGTCATCTTAGCCTCCTATGGCGCGGTGGGCTAAGCCATCAGAAGCATGCGGTCCAGCGGAGGCCAGAGGAAAGCTGTGGGCACGTGTGGCTCCCACCTGACAGCCGTCTGCCTGTTCTACCATTCCGCAATCTACACCTACCTGCAGCCCACTCACAGCTACAACCAGGGGCCCAGCAAATTCGTGTTGCTCTTCTACACTGTGGTCACACACTCTCTGGAATAAGAAAGTGAAGGGGGCACCCAGAAGGCTCCTGGGGAGACTGGGGGAGAGCTCAAGCCAGGCAGTAAGTGGCTTGGGAAGGGGAAAATGTTTTATCCCTGGTCTCATGGATGGAAATGCCCAATAGACAATCAGTCACTTTGGCCTTCAGGCGTTCATTTTCTTTAAAAGAATCAACAAGATTTGTTTTCAGGGAGACTAAGGCTGCAGGGAGATTCCCTCCTCCTGCAGTCTGGCTGGGCACAAAATCAGGAGCCACTCAAGCAGGAACAAACTTTACTTTGAAACTGCCGCCAGTGTCCACTAGCGCGGGGAAGATTTCCGATCCACCCACCCGCGACCTCCTCCCTGAACCGCCAGAGAGAGTTCCTCCCCCGGAACTCCCTCCTACTGTACTTCCCCAACCAATGGGAACTCTCCAGGAGTCCTGTAGCAGGCTGAGGTGAACAGCAGGAGTCCAATATCCATATGAATGCAAATCTTAACATAATCATATAATCTCAATGGCTAGCTGGTGTCACCTTTCAACCAAAAATGCCATGCATCATATACTTGGCTCTTAGCACCCTCCATTTACCACGTAAGGGTCAAATTCTTCAGAGAAAATGCCTGTATCATATGTATGCAAATACACTCCCTCCACACCCCCAGTGGAAAACACCTGCAGGCTTTCTCCTACACCAATGAAGAAAAGAAACATGATGGCCTGGACTTCCTCATCCTCAGGAGATACTCAGGAGTTCACATGCAGTCAAGATGATGAACAACAGGATGTTTTCTGGCAGTCTGATAGAAGACTATGGAAGATTTTGAGGGCTCTGCCATCAGTCATCTCTCAAGTTAACAAAGGAAAGTATAGGCCCTACCCATCCAGAAAAAGGACCATGGCCTTTCTTTTGGGAAACCAGCCCAACCTAATGCAGACCTAGACAGGTGGCCAGTACCCACCACAGCGGTATGGCTCATAGGCTATGAGCAACAGTCATAAATTTGGGGAATTATGCTGAATGAGATTAAACATGGAGAAACTCTCTTGCATGAGATGGTCTTCAACAAGTTTGAAAGAAAAGAAGGAACCAGAATTGATGGAGAAGAAAGCAGGCTTGTTTTGGGTTGTAAGAAAAACCTACAAGTGATCAGTAATGAAACATGATAGAGAGAGACAATGAGGGGGCTGAGGCTGTAGCTCAGTGGTAGAGGGCTAGCCTAGTAGTAAGGCACAGGGTTTGATCCTCAACACCATGTAAAAATAAATAAATAAAGAATGAGATAGAGCAGTACATTAGAGGTAGGAATGAAACCAAGTTCCCAAGAAAGGAGCAGAGTGATGAAGGGAACATTGGGGTAAAGACAGAAGCCAAACCCTAGCCTCCTCCATCTAGAGCCGAATGCCCAACCTAGAACCTAAGGCCAGCAGAGCCAACACTGGTACACATTCCCCAACTTTCAGGAATCCCATTCCCTACAGAAGCATATCTACCTGCAAGAAGCCACCCCTAGAGATACAAAATCTCTAGATCCCCATGGAAACTATCTTTCCATTCCCGCTTCTAGAAATAAGAAGAATTTTGATTGGGCATGGGACATGGAGAAAAAGGAGCATGGTGCCAGATTTCATTTCATACCAAGAAACTTTAAATAAGAAAAGTGCAATTAGATTGAATTTCTAAATTACTTATTAATTGGATTGTAATCATGTTGAAGTAAAAAAAGTTAATTCATAATAAGTGGAAATTTATTTTGGTTCATTGATTATTGAGTGATATTACAGATAAAGCACTAAGCTTGATATATAAACATTTAAAAATCAGTAGAATTGTATCACAACCTAAACTTAATATCTTATCCTACTGGAAAGGAAATGGGGATTTGGACAACATAAATTTCAAGTCAGCTTTGAATGCTATCTCTAAAATGAAAACATTATCTTCTATTCTTAGTAACAATCCTGCCATCAATTATGGTAGAATCATAACAATTATGGTAGAATTTACCTCCCACCCCCCAAACTTCCTCTATTCTCTCATTCTCATTAATTTTGGGAAATCATGAAAAATGTTGTTGCTGAGTAAGAGCTAAGAAAATAAACTCTACTCTGGGTAACCACCTCATCCCCAAGATAGTCAACCCCCAATACAAAAGCGTGTCAGAAAGAGTAAATTGCCCTCTCTGATGCTATAATCCGCCATGATCTTCCCATCTTCCAGTTTCTTTCCATTGCATGTCACAATCTGGGTCTCAGGAGTCACACCAGACACAGTCTCAATCATCTTTTTCACCTGGGCTACAGAGCTGGACCTTCGCACCTGCAGGAGGTGCCTCTGCCCCTCATCTGTTGCCTCCACCACAAACAAAGGCAGCTCCTTGTCACTGGGCTTCACCACCTTCAGGGTGAGGTGAATGGTGTTCTCCTTGTCAATACCATAAAATGACAGTGGTTTCTGTGGCTCTAGGGTCTGGGAGCCCAGCAGAAGGACTTGGTCCTGAACAGGAATCTTAGTCTTCGACCTGATGTGTTCATTGATCTTCTTCACTCTGTCTTTCGAGCTGGCAGGAAAGGTCATTAAGGGCCTTTCCTCAGAATGGACATTCACCTGGGCAAAGAAAACCACAATACATTGCCTAAAATAACTGCCACTTTTTATAACCTCTTGCTTTCTCACCCTAATTGCTGTCCTACCCTTCCACTGTCTGTGTGGCTCTCCAACTCTTCTCCAATTATCTGTATCCCTCCTCCCCTTGGAATTTCTGTTTGGGATTTCCCAGATTATAACACAAACATGAACGTTAGTCTCATTCCTTTTGAACAATACCTCTTATCCATCTCAAAATGCAATGAATTATTTCCCACCTTATTTTACCTGCCTCACCTATCTAGTGATCAAGTTTGTCAAGTGTCAAAAGTTAACCATACAAAGCTTCAAAAAGATGTACAAAAGATTCTGAAAATAACTCCCAAAGCAAATTTCTAAGACTTGGCAGTTTCATGGGAAAATGGGCAATGCTTAACATAGAGAAGAGACACTACAGTGAAGAAATAGGTGTAGCATCTAGGTTGATTTAGATATTTTTGTGTGACATATAGGAGATGTTTTCTCAGGCTATACAGGGGTGATCTTGTCTATCTTTCATATTTTCCCTGTAATTGTAGCAAGATTTAGGTACAGTGCTACCTTCTGTGAGTGAGGCCCTGGTCTAATTTTAAAAGATCATATACCACAATACAGTAGGTATATGTATAAAAATACAAGAAATATAGATGAACAAATAACACTGAGCATAGTATCACTGTAATATGTAAGCTATTATAAAGCAATGGCATATTAAGAAAGAAACTAACAATACAGAGGTGTTTTATCCTTAGTACGGTGTTCTTTTAAATAGTCACAGAGGATATCTTCTGGCCTTGAGAATCATTTTTTTTTTTCAGTACCTAGGATATGAAGCCAGGGCCTTAGGCTTTTTAAGCAAGTGTTGTACCAAGACTTCTGAAAAAATTTATTGAAACCAAGTCTTGCTAAGCAGCCCAGGCTGGCATCCAACTTGAAATCCTCCTGCCTCAGGCACCTGAGCAACCGGGATCATTGATGTGGGCCATCACACCCAGCCTCTCTATATATTCTTATTTAATGTCATATATTAGGTTTTTAACAAAAAGGTAAATGAGTTTCCATCAACTCTCCTTAGGAAAAGAGGGAAAGTTAAGTTTAAGAACTCTGGTAATATTTTAAAATCTCAACTCTTTCCATTCCTGTTGAGCATAATCCTCCCTCCCTCAATTCCTACTAAGGTAGGAGAAAAGACTGGAATAGAAAGATAGGAAATTTGGGACCTTTCAAGGGCAGGTTTTAGTGTAGCAAGGCTGAGAGACCACAGACAAAAATTAGGCCTCATCAACGTCAGGCTCATTCTTATGTAAGAAGAAAAACTAATAGTGAGACAGCTATTGCCTAGTTCCCAGAACCCCTCCCAAAAATGGCACAGTAACCTGATTGGACCAAATGGCTCATGAGAGCTCATGGGCCCTGCGTGCCTTACCCAGAATTGGGCCAGAGACTAACTTCCTTAACCCTGTAGACTCATATAAGCCCCTAGACAATAGACACCTTTAGCAGCCCTCTCTTGGAACACCATCCCCTTTGGGAGCTCTGCTTTCTTTCTTCTTTCTATTACTCTAACAAATCCTGTGACTTTGCTCACCCTTGTATTCATGGATTTCATTCTTTGAATTCAGGAGACAAAGAACTCATCCAACCAAGTTCCACATTACACTACCAGTTCTCCCTAAGGGCATCCAGTCCAAGTTCTGATTCAAAAGAGTACTCCAGAGCCATGTAACCAGATGACTGGCTTCTCTTCAGAGTACCTTCCTTCCCAGCAGCTATCAGCATCTGCTTCCACTCCTTCATGATGCCTCCTAGCCACCTCACTTCCAGAGCACAGTCCTTCCTCTATTCCTTAGATGTTTCCTCAACTCTTGAAAGTAATTTTCCTTTCCCCAGTCTCTTTATCAAATCCCAACTTACAGAAAGTACTTCACAGGCAGCCATCTCTGCAATCAAGGGAACAGACAGGAGAGTGAGAAAAGGGACCCTGTGTCCGGCTTATATGTGAGCAGTTGAGTTGGAAATCCCCTGCTAGACTGCTGTATTGTCCATCATGGCTGTGCCCTTTGGTCTTGAATGTTCTCCTGAATTTTCTTTCACTTTTGCTGGAGTGGAGTTGATAAACAAAGAATACTCTCTGTTCAGGACTTTCTCCCCTGGGGCAACCCATTTGCTCTGCTTGTTCTAAGCATGGATGGCCCTTGGATGCTGAGAATTTTTTCCTTCCCCCATGCACTCTTGATTCTGCCTGTGACTATCTACTCTGCAGCCCTGGTCCTTCACTGTCTTCAATATCTGTGATATTGTTTACCCTCTCCCGCTGCTCTTAGGAACACTCCATCAATCACTGCCTTCCTGAGAGCAAGACCACCCAGGTGGTGACAGTCATGACTGATGTGGAGTGATGTGGCTGTGAATAGCCTGTTCACTTTAGCTGGGCAGGATACATGAAATATACCTGGAGAACACACAGGAAAAATAATCCTGAAATGAGACATGAGTTCAAGTCCTGAGGGTGCCACATGCTACATTACATCAGGCAAATCTCTCCCCCCACCCTCTCTCACCATGGGAATTAAACTCAGGGGAACTTGACCACTGAGCCACATCCCCAGCGCAATTTTGTATTTTAGTTGGAGACAGGGTCTCACTGAGTTGCTTAGCACCTTGCTAAATTACTAAGGCTAGCTTTGAACTTTCAATCCTCCTGCCTCCACCTCTCGAGCCACTGGAATTACAGGCATGCACCACTGTGCCTGGCTCATCTCTTTTAACTGATGGTTTTTTTGTCATGAGATGTTTGGCAGAGTTATGAAAAATTGTGGTATATATGTGTAATAAGAAATGTAATGCAAAAAAAAACAAAGTACACGTATGAAGACATGAATTGATGTGAACATACTTTATATATAAAGATATGAAAAATTGTGCTCTATATGTGTAATAAGAATTGTAATGCAAAAAAATAAAATATGAAAACTGGAAAAAAAATAAAATGAGATGTTTGGAGAGGATTCTTAAGTGTCTTATAGACTTAGAAAAACTTGCTAAAAACATTTATATATATACATATACATACACACACACACATATATGTGTGTGTGTGTATGTATATATATATATATAAATATTTTTTTTTTTTTTTTTAAAGGGTCTTGCTAAGTTTTCCAGGCCAACTTCAAGCTTGTGATCCTTTTGCTTCAGCCTCTCCAGTTACTGAAAGTCACTGGGATGGCAGGTGTGTGCCACTGTGCCTGATTTACAAAGAATTTGGGATTCCTGGGTCTTAAGTTCTCCCACACACTTTCTACAAACCAAATACACCATGTCAGAACAATCTTAAACCAACAAATAATTGCTGACTTCCACCTTCCACATACCAAAACAGTCCACATACACACTTATACCACAGTGCTTTTATTTCTCCACCTCTATTCCTGGAAGCTCCTTAGAACTGAGAGCTCAGAGATACCTAAAGGCGCTGCAAACTCCCTCATTCTTCAGATTTGGATTGAGACCAAAGGAGCATGCATGAAATATGTAGCTTCAGGAAATTAACTCCATCACTCCCTCCTTCTGACATTCCAAATGTATCACTGCCTTTTCACAAACTCTCAGGACATTGCCATGGAGCCAACAGTTTTTAAAAATTTATTAAAAGTGCTTTGATTTTTCAAAGTAAGAAGCCTATAAAAATTCCAATGTATCATCTTTGTTTTTTGTGTTTGTAGTGGCTACCTATTGTACCTTCACTAAATGATAGATCTTAAATGATCTCATTTTATTCTGGGGGGAAAGGGCTCCATCCCAGAGAACTTGGATTTACAGAAGTGCCCATAGAGAGTAAGGAAATCCAACAGTTCATTCCAATACCTAAAAAGCCTAATATAAATCACATCTTTCTTGTGAAGCTCTTATTATAATATTAAATAGTTAATAAAAGTAGAAAGACTATTACTTAAGTGTTTTTATGTATTTTTTGGACTGTATTTACTTTTTTCCCCCAGTTCTGAGAATGGAACCCAGAACCTCATGCACAATAAGCAAGAACCATCGCACTGAACTACATCCCCAACACTTGGACAACTGTTTTAAGCACATAGGATAAGTATGAGGGGAAGAATGCTGATGAAATATATCAGAAACCACTGGACCCTGCTGTTCTCATTTCAGATCTCGCTTCAGGTCCATGTTATCCTGTGATTAAAAAATCAAGGTGCTGACCTTTGGCTGCCCTGCATCCGCTGTCCAATAGGATTTGGACATTCTGAAACGTCCCCAGTTTCCAGGCAAAAAATGTCAACTCAGGTTAAGTGCAAATGGGAAACAGAAAGCCATGCAGTACAGTAGGGATGGAGAAAGGGCCTGGAAGAAAAGAAAGGAAAAGGCATTTTCTGCCCTAAAAACGAGCCATGCCAGATGTTTGACCAATTGACTCTGCCGCTGAATACTGAATAAAGTAAAGCTTGCTGATCCAAGAAGAAGAAGAAGAAGGAGGAGGAGGAGGAGGAGGAGGAGGAGGAGGAGGAGGAGGAGGAGAAGGAGGAAAGAAAAGAAAAGAAAGGAAAAGCTACACAAACCCAGACTTGAGTAAACTTCTTTTACTTTTACACCTTCATGTCTTTGCTGGAAGTCAACAGGGAGAGGGAGAATAGGTGGTAAAGCAGCTGTAAATCAGATCATTCTCTCCTCATGCCCTTTCATTCTCTGTCCTTCTTGCCTCAGTTCCTGACAGTATCTTGGTGCCAGCAAGTGCAGTATGGGGGGGAGCAGGAACACTGGCCAGAGGCACCAGGAGGATGCATTCCAGGGCTCCATTCCTGGGGATGACATTTCCTAAGAATGATATTGATCTCCTACTGCCACCAGATCTATGTTCATGGCTCCAACAGAAGCTGCAGATTTCTACATAGCTGCATCCATTCATGGTTCCTTGAATTCCTTGCATATCTTTGAACACACTAAGCCTTCTCACATCCTCAACCAGTGAGCATGCCTTCTCCCCAAGTCTATCTTCACACCATCAAAGTATGTGAACCCACAGTGTAAGCAGCATCTCCTTCAGGAAATCTTTTCTACTCCTTTCTAATTTGGGGTTATATGACCCTCTTCTGTCCTCCCATACTTCCTACAAAAAACTTTTAGGGCACATTTTCCAAGCAGCAGGACCATATGCTTGTCTGAAGGGAGTAGGAATCTGAAGGGTTGTGATTGTGTTTTAGTGAACTTCTATCCTCAGCTCTGTTCTAGTGCTGAGGCATCAATAATAGACCAGGGGGAGAGGCTAGGCTACAGTAACACTCACTCTTCCAAAAATATTCGGAGTTAAATTAGTTGGAAAATAGGTTTTCTTCAAAGCCAGCTAGCTTTAAAGGAAGGTAGAAGAGACTTATTTCAAAAGTTCCATCTTTGAAATCTCAAAAGGAGAGGAAAGCTTTTAAAGAAGCAGCAGCAGGGAAGTGAGACCAAGGGCAGGACATGTACCTGTGCAGATTTAGCCTGTGTTAGACTCACCTGGGGAGGGGACAATCTCCATTCTCAGCTTCTTCAGGGGAACAGACCCTGAGCTTCCATTCTTAGGTCATGGTAAAGAAGTTGCTCTTAATTTCAGAGAAGCCCCAAATTCAGTCTGTTTTAGTGCTGTCTGGCACAGGAAATAATATTTACTAAATCCATGATGAATTAATAAATGAATAAATAAGTGAATAATGTTTAGTGAGTACTTATGTTTCAGGAACTTCATAAGACTCTTAAATGAGTATCTTTGCTGATAAACAAGTCATCAACTCACCCACAGTCATATGAATGAGTAACAGCTGGTCAGCGAGAGTTCAAATGCATACCTTTATTTTTATAGTCCTGCTCTTCTTACATGTTTTGTTGTTTCCATGGAAGGAAAAGGGAAGAAAATAATCTGCACTGGAGTTGGGGATTTCCCGCAGCAGGATGGGAGGTTACTGTGAGGACAAACCTGGTATACTCCCAGCAAAAACAAATTAAGGGGATTCCCTTCCCTAAGGTCACCTGGATTATAAGAAACAGTGCCCTTTCGTGGAATAGAAACAACACATCTGTACTCTGATCCCTCTCTCTTCTCTTCCCTTCCTATGTGGAGTCCCCACCCTGCTCAAGGACAGGGGAAAGTTTGTGCCAGATACTCTGACACCTTTTTTGCTGACCATAAGCAGGATTTCCTCTTGGGACCTCCTCCTAGGTTCTTGTCTCAAGGTCAGTCTCATTTGTTTTTCCTCTGTCACAATAAATCCTTTCTGGAGAAAAAAAAAATTTTTTTTTTTTCATTTGCCTCTAATCTCAAAAACTAGCCAAGGTGAAAGATCATGCTGAAGAGGCTTTGCTAGATTGCAGCAAAGCAGACTCCCTATGAAATAGAGAGCCCTTCTGAAATTAGGGGCAACTTCCTCATATTCAGTGTACGACTGAAGAATTTTTCCTCCCCAACTCCAAGGACACACCAAGGAAGCTGAGAATAGAAATTTACTCCTCTTGACCCACTGACACGTTCCCTGTCCAGCACAGTCTAACTAAATCTACACATGTATTTTTCTTGCCTTTTGCCCCACTTTGTCACCTCTAATAAAAGCTTTTCCAGCTCTTCAGGTTTGTCAAGATGCAAATTTGTAACATAAAAGTTTCCTCTATCTTCCTTTAAAGCTGGGCTTTAAATAAAATCTAATTTTCTTGCCAATTTATGGAATACAATGAGCACACCTACCCCAGCCTCCACCACCGTAATAATTCTGGGCAATCACAGTAAATATGTCTCAGATACCTACAGAATTTCCCACTTGGCCCTCCAGATGAACCAGTCGTAGTACTACCCCCATGGATGCCTCCTTAGAGCACAGGTGTTTTTTTGTTTTTTCCTTTTTTGGTACAAGGGACTGAACCCAGGAGTGCTTAAACACTAAGCCACATCCCCAGCC